GGGGAAGTGATGATGTAATTATATTTTAACTAAAAATGTATTTTAAAAAGTATGCTTCTATAAACATCAAACTATTTTGTAAGTACAATTTACTAGTATCTTGCTTATTGTATATAATTTTACTTATATTAGTTACAACCTTTTTTGTTGTTTTTTAGATATCTTGCTTGTATAAATAAACCCTGTCTGAAGATCAGAGAATGGAGCTAGGCACTAGCTGACCTGGATGTCTGTATAGACAGACAGGAAGTAAGATGGCTGGGCAAAAACAGGAAATGAGATGGCTAGGCAGAGAGAGGATATAAGCAAGAAGAAACAAGAACTCGCTCTCTTGTCCACTGAGGTGCCTAGAAGATAAAAGGGTGGCTTTGGCTTGTTCCTTCTTTCTGATCTCAGCATTTTCCTCTATATCTGACTCCAGGTGTTTATTATTTAGACCAATTAAGAACTCATTTTACAGCATTAGCATGCTAAATATCAATAATATTTAGCAAGTTTCCTATCTATATCTTGAGCCAAAAAAAGAGGAGCACACTTTCCTAAAATGACTTCAATTATGTTACCCCCTCAATTTGGTTTCTCACTATTTTTCAGTGGATACATGTATAGGCTCATGATCAAGAGGAAAATCCTACAAAGCACTTTCAAAAATGACTTTGTTTCTCAATGGGTAGTAATTTGGCACAGCATGAAATGACAACCTATTATTACTTTAATATTAAGGTCAATGAGATTACTGTGTATACTCAACTCAGGGATCCCCAACATCTGAAAACCCTTACTCCAACTCAAACCAACAACTAGACAAAATGTCATGATACCTGGACTAAGGAAGCTGATGTCACTTTAAAAAGAACAATTGTGCAATACTAAAGTGCTATTTATATAGCTTTCTAAAATGAGCAAAAAGCTAACTTCATACCTCATTTAAGGTAAGTCATTTCTAGATTCTAATATCCACTTGAGCAAACAGTAGATTTTATCAACATGAACATAGGTCTTAAATAGGAAACTTAAGCTCACAGTTTTAGTGAAACCACATTAACTCTTTACCACAATAAGGCTTAATAAGAGTCCATCAAGTGTCTGTCTCATATTCATGACTCACTATCACAAGAAAAACCAGTTTGCCTTCAGTTTACTCGGTGTGAGCTCCTATGTGTGGAAAGAGTTTCAGCATAAGCAAAAGAAAAATGACCTATATAGTACAAAGCGAGAAGCTTTTCTTGAGTTTGATCATTCACTGTCTTGTAAAAGCTATGAATACTTCAACTAATTGTACATGTTCCAAAAATACAGCCTCAAGATTTAGCTCAAGACAAAGCTGTTTATTAAAGGAATTCCATGAATAATGTTATTGTCTCAATGTGACTCTACACAAAACAAACTCAACTCAGCATTCAGTGCTTACCGGATGATCATTCCTCACAAACACTAGAAACACAGTTGTTTTATACTTGTCTTTATTTTCAAGAGGCTTACAACCTAGTGGAATAATGAACTATGATATACAGTATGTATAGAGAATAGTACGAGCTTTTCTCTCCTAGGACTATTTACCTGAAGCACATAGGAAAGAAAATAAATTGAGTGGTACTTTCTCAATCATCTCAGGAAGCACATAAATACAGCTTTAGATGCACATGCTGGATTATTTGGTGTATACTACAGAGAAAGAATTGAAAGATGGTATGTAATGAACTATACTTCATGGGGTACAAAGTAGTAAGAGCCCTTGAGTACTTTTAATCACAGGAGCAACATAATCCAACATGCAAAATATTGTTCTAGCAATAGAAATAAAAGGAGAGCATGAAAGTAAGAAGAATAGATATAAGATTATAGGGTCATCAGCCTCAGGGGCAGTAACATTCTAAAACAATACCATCAGGATGAAAGGTGGTGAATGCGCCCTGGGAAATGACAGGGCTAAAAGGAGTAGTTTCTCCAATACTTTCATCCCAGATGACTATGATAGCAGTGATACCATGAAACAACAGGAAAACACTGTAGCTATAAGTTATCAAGAAAGATCAGCAACTTCAACTATTAAGCAAAAAGTATTTTGTCTTTTTGTATCCTTAATCATGTTAAATTATTTTAGAGCAAATTTTTTTTGTTCATTATAAGTAACACTAATTAAAAAGAACCAGATTTTAAAGTACATCCTAATATCACTTAAAGTAATACTAATATAGACCAAAAAATAAAAAATAAATAAAAAAAAATAGATGGTGTCTTTACCATGATGACTCCCATTACTTAACTGACAATACCTGCTTATTGATCCTGACAAGGTCAATTCCTTACATGGTACCAGTTTATACATAAACCAGCTATGAGCTAAATATTTGAAAGTTTCTCTAAGTAGTAAAAAAATACTAGGTAATTTTCCTAAATCACTTAAAAAGGGTGAAAAGAAAATGTTCCAGATACCCTTGGCAAAATAGAAAGATCTTTTCCTAACAGGTCTTTTAACTGGGAAGGTGGATACCTAGTGGGTAAAATGCAGGCATGTCCTCACGTGCAGTGTTTCTCACTAACTACTCATTCCTACTTCAAAACAATGAGTGCACACTGCAGAATCAAACCATTAGCCAGGAATTTCTGTCTGTGATCCAATCATGTTCAAAAATATATTTAAATTTTCAAAAATTCAAAGGAAAGCACCTAAGTTTTCTGTATAGCTGTTATATATGTTCTTTTATCTTCATAAGAGGCTAACAGGAAATGATGCTAGGGCTCATCTTAGTAGATACACAAACTACTCAGCATCTAAAGCAGAAAGGTAAATCAAACAACAACATGATACAGAGGTGCCACAGATATTACTGAATTACCTAAATAGTATACAGAAGGATCTGCTTTCTGATGAGAGGAGCAAACAGAAAAGAAAAAGGAGCAAAACTTGAAGAACATCTGGGTTTAAATTCCAGCTCTGACACTTGTGAGTTTTTATAAATCACAGTTTATCTATAATTTAATACTACATATTAAGTCCTATGAGATAAAATTAAGCCAGTGCTTATTAAATATTTTATCCACAGCCCCATTCTACATATTCATGAGTATGATCCAGGAATGTGAATATTTTAACAAATCCCAAAGATTATCCTTACATACTAGTATCACAATTTAGAAATCACTGAAAAGAATCCATATACAAACATACATACACATACACACACACACACACACACACACACACACAGGTGTCTGTGTATAATTATTCATAACAGCACCCTAGAATAAGCATTTAAATGTTCAGCAAATGCTTGATGTAATTATCTCCAATTATTTTTAAATTTAAAAAGAGCCTTTGGAAAAGAATTATAAAATTTGCATAAACCTCTCACCAAAAATAGACTTAAAGCATACAGCTATACTGTTTCAGAGACATTCTCAGGTGACTAGAGTGAGAGTCCACACAAAAGACAATGCCATTTTACACACAGTTTAAAATTCAAGCAAACTTTAAAGTTAGTCCTGTAATGTATTTTTTATAAAAAACTTGTCTATGCCAAGTTATTCAACCAACAAAACTTCCTAATTTTTCTGCATTCTTAAACATGCAGAAGAGTATAAACAGCAACAAATATCTAAAACCCAGAGGGGAATATTTATTACCAGATCTTGGGTTATTACTTATGAATAGTAACAGTGTCTCTTCTTCTTTAAAAAAAAAAAAAAAAGTGTTAAACCCTTCAATTAATTAGTACTTCCTAGGAAAGTCATCTAATGTATAGACCACTATCTCACACACACACACACACACACACACACACACACACACACACACAAGTTAGCCACACTCTCACACCAGCATTGGATATACCTAAATGTTCTATCTATAGCATTATATTATTGCTCAAAATTTCAATTAACACAAATTCCATAAATTATATAGAATGTCCCTTAAATATTCTTAAGTTATTTTATCACATTTATGAATTAAGGGTAATTTCTCTTCTAAATGTAGATACTAAAAATTGTAAAGTCACACTGACAGAGTACTCAAAAGTTATTTACCACTGGGATTATTTTCCCACATACATCTTTCGAAGGTTATAGAAATCAATGAGCTGATTCAACAGACTGCTGGTGCATTATATAAATAATGCTTAGACACAGGAATTGTTCTTAACATTAAAATACTGGATTTTCCTATTTTCTTTTATCAAGCTTTACCATTTAGCCTACTAATATTAGAAAAACACAGTGAAGGCCCAAGGTATTCTAAAGAGTTAAAAGAAACAGAATAAAAATTAGAATTTAAAGATGGCTCAAGGAAGTATCAACAAGTTACCAGCTTTCTTGAGCATGTAGGATATTAGCCACTTCCACGAAAAGTCCTATGTAGCACTAGACCAGTGACAGCACACTACATACTAGATAATAAAGAAAATTCAGGGAATTTAATCTGATTACCTAGTATACCTATTTTCAGAAATATTTCTGAAGTGAAAATTAAAGACATTTTTTAATGCTGTAAACAAACCTGAAGTACTAGTAATACATGGTAAAAAATATTTCTCTGCAACTTTTATGTAAAAGATCTTTACAGATATATATCTCTAAAGCCTTTACAAAGGCCCCCTATTCTATACTTTATTGGCTAGCTTTCCATATCAGTTCTAACAGTCAAAGGGTGTTTTGGCAAACGGTCTTTAAAAAGGTTTCAAATATGAATAGAGAATAGTATGGAAAAGGCAAAGGAGATTCTAAGACCTCTTCTTCCTCAAAAATTACTTCAAGATGCAAGCAGAATACATGCCATACTTAAAGAAATGGAAGAACAGTGCCACTCTGTAGAAGAGAATAGGAACATCAACACTCTACTTCAACCTCTAGAAGTTTATGACATACAAAATGACCAAGTCTGCAATTAACTATAATTCTTATGACATTAAACACTCCAAAATATGTTACTAAGCTATACCTCTGCTAATACTTCTTTAAAATATGAAATGTGTAACAGAAAATATAGGACAATAACTTACTTGAGTAGGAACAAGTACTGGAGGGTACGCCATCTTGTGATGTCTATACACCCAAAATGCACAAATGACAATCCCTGCAATCAACATAAGTGGTACCAAGGAATACAGCAAGATGTTGTAATAGGGTGGCTTCGGTGTAACAGGATTTGAAGTGGCTGTGGAAGAGGGAATAGGAAATGGTTCAGATTTGGTTTATATTCCTATCATAAGTAGTTAGCATATAGTCAGATGGGGGGGGAATGATATATAAGGAAGTAGTAATAAATTACTCCAACAACACAAATATATTTTCTTTTCAATCTACTAGCAGAACAAGCATGTATTTTTCACTATACACTTACGCTGTGTGACTTCCATCTCCGGAAAATAAGAGAACTTTTCATTACACATATTGCCCTCACAGCAACAAAAGTACACTTCAGGGCTGTCCTTTTTTTCAATACAATCAGTCCTATTTAAAAACAAAAAGAAAAAAAAGAATAATTAACACCAATATCATTATACTGGCCCTACAACAGATATGTTTCTTCTGAGACAAGAGTCACTATATTGAAATTGAAGGAATTTCTGAGTATCCAATGATCCAATGACTGAGTCTGGAAAATAAAACTGTTCTAGACTTCTACTACTAAACCACAGTAGAAAAAAAATAAACAAACATCTGAGTTTATGATGATCACACTGACTTCCTGAGACTACTGCTTTAATGTGGTTTGTAATGAGCAATCTACGGTAACTATCTCCTTTGTTTTTTTAATTATTAGAGAAGCGAGAAGAAGAACATAAAATCAGTGAGGCAATTTGCTCATGGGAAATGAAACTTCCGCATTTTGTGACATTAAAAACTAAAAACTAGATATAAAACTAAATAAATACACACATACACTAAGTGATGTGAGCTTGTATCTCATGAATGGAATATATTTCAGCATCAGAGACACGAACTAGCTTTGGGAGTGTCGTTTTCTTCATATTAATAGATTTATGATCCCTGAACAGAAAAACAAGGTTGTGATTTTAAGAACAAAAATGCAGAGAATGTGAACAACAATTACATAGGACTTTATAACTCAGACTTAACAGAATCAGGCTGACTAAACTAAAATGCAAAAAACAGCCTTCCACACAAGAACTGATTGAAAAGACATGGACTTAGCCCCGAGAATCAAGCTCCATTCAACTACTAAGAAACAGCTATATCCACCTATCCTTTTAAATATTGCTGGTAAACATCAATTAACCTAAAGATTCAGCACACACTGCTTTGTGTAGCATTCAGCAACACTATGGCTAAGACAACTACAGATAAGAGTTGAAGTTAAGAGCTGATCATTTTACCAACATCAAGCACTAAAGAGAATCTATTAATGTCTACTTAGAAGAAATTAAAAGGTAAATGAAAGCTGTTTTCATAATTTATAATGTGTAATTTAAAAATTAATATATAGTCATGCCTCTAAGAACTAAAAAGAAATACACTAAATTTCCTCTCTCGTTTCTTACTACCCTTATATGTTTCTTTTTCTTTTTTTTTTCTCTTTCTTTCTTTCTTTCTTTCTTTCTTTTTTTTTGTTTGTTTTTTGTTTTCAATTAAATTCAGAGCATAAAAATTGTATTTACACTGGGAGCTGGTGGCACATGCCTTTAATCCCTGCACTTGGGGGGGGGGGGGAGGAGAGACAGGTGGATCTCTGTAGTTCAAGACCAGCCTGTTCTACAAAGTCAGCTCTAGGACACGCTCCAAAGATATAGAGAGAAACCCTGCCTCAAACAAACATACAAACAAAATAGTATCCATGAGTTTCTATATTAGCATTTGATCCCCAGAATCAAAATTGGTATAGTTATCACTTATACAAGCACTTTACACTGGGTAATGCAGAGTCTATGAGACTCTGACAAATGGGTCACTAAGCATTTCAGAACTGCCTGGTTCTCACATAAGTAAAATGCTAGATTTAGAGGTTAGAAGTAGAGTAGTTTTCATTTTACACACACACACAGCTTCCTAATATGAACTGATAAAAGTCAGTTAGAATAAAGATGACCGTTCATTTTTTTCTAGTAGCTTCCCATCCCCTTTTATAATAGCAAATAGCACTCAGTTATGCACCTCTATTAGTAGAGACAATGAAACTCAGAAAAGTGGAGGTAAAGAATGAAATAAACAATTCTTGGAAAACTTACAGACTCAGAAGCATTACCTAAGTATTAAACATATATCTAAATGATTATACTTGAATATTTCATGAAGTAGAACTAACTTAATTTTCATAATTTATTCAATGCATAGCTAAGGTGTCATATGGCTAAGCAATCAATTCCAGGTAACTGAGGCTCCTAGAACATATATAGTGGTCAACAGATACTACACAACTTTTTTGGTCCAAAACAGCTGGTTACTTAGGGCTACAGGCCTCCACCACTCTATACCATCTATCTCTAGTGGAAAAGCTATGGCTAGGGCAGGAAAATGATCATCACTTAATATCAACATCCCTTCTAAAAGAAAGATCAGAAGTACTCAATAGCATGGCCATTTATGTTATTTCCAGAAAAAAAAAAATTTTTTTAAAAGGTCTATTAAAGAAAATATAGCTTTGTATGAGTTTTTAGTTCTGATACATTTTTGAATATCAAATTAAATGTCTCTTGGGGTTTAAAACACATACACACACACACACACAAATCTACCTACTTTGCAAGACAAAAAGGGGTTGGAGAAAGAAGATCGATTTCTTCCAGATATATAAAGAAGGAAAATGAATGGAAATTAAATACTGCCATCAAACATTATCCTCTTTGAAGATAGACTTTTCAACACATATACTTTCTTTTAAAGTGATTTTTAAATTGGTATTAAAGCTTATAATGTAATATGATAGTGAGAAAATATTCACATATAAGAGGTCTCACTATCTGTAGTATATCAAAAATAAAGAAACATTACATGTTTATTAACTTGAAAGAAAGAGCTAGTCATTGGTTCATGTTATCCTGGTCTTCATCATTTCATCTTGAAAACAGCAATAAGCACTAACGTGCAAACCCCATGCATTGATCTTTGCCTTTTCAAGGCAGGACAAACAGAAGGAAAGTCACTGAACTCCATCACAAAAATTAAGTACATTCTTACCTGTCATAGCAGTTGATGTCATCCAGCCAACAACCTTGTTTCACTATTTCAATGGAACCAGAAATATTCTTCCAGGTAGCAAAACAATGCCGTCGTTTATCTTTGTCACCATAACAAGGCTCAACACCAGTTTGATTGGTTCTGTCTCTTTCCCAATTAGCATTAAAGAAAAGACACTCCTGAGTTTCTGATCTACCAAGTATAGCACCTGTAAGATAACAGAATAACTTAGTGTAACTATACAACTCTTAATATCTGTTTTGAAAAAAGGCAGCCACTTAAGGCACTCTTGTTGCAATGTCAATAGTTTACTGTCCCCCAGTGTTGCAATTTTGTATTTATGTTGCTAAATTAATCCCCACACTTTAAACATAAAAATAATCATAATAATCTGATTAGCCACATATATCACAAGATTTCTCTTGACAACATCAGCTTCATCTAAGAATACAAAGAGTAGCAAAAATCATTAATTTTACTATATTTCATCTCTTCCACAGACCTCTTTTTCAATATTTTGTGCAACAAAATACAATCTAAGCAAACACACTTCTCCTATATAGTAAGGCTCTCAACTGTATAGACTAAACAAAGTAGGGCCATGGAGACTTTGGAATCTTACAGACATGCTCTCAAAAGTAATCCATTAACTCAAGTAAAGCAATTCATATTAATATGCACCACCAAGGACAAAATTTTAATCTGCTAGTAAGAACAGGCATTGTGGAAGACCTAAACCTACTAGCATTAGGATATCAATGTCATAGTGAGGTCAGTGGTAATAGTAACAAATAGTGCCTTTGAATTCTGAATAATAAAGTGAGTCAACATCCAGAAGATACATATAATTCAGAGAACCAATAATTTTTGAAAGAATTAATGTAAAGTTACAGGAGCACCCGTGTAAAAACTCATTAAAGGTGAAAGATGGATCATCAAAATAAGAGACTATTTCTTGAATTTGGCATTATATCAGAGACAACTATACAAACATCTAAATAAATTATTACAACAGTATTCATCTTTTGTATGGTCAGATCAGAAAAATATAACAACCAAAGTAACATACAAGAGTAGCTGAATAAAGAAACCCATTACTTTCTATTAAAACAATCATGAAAGTTAAGAAAAAAATGTCACATATCTTTTTGCTTTAGAAAATATTTTTCATAAAGATTTCGTCTTTTACTTACATAGAATGAACACTTGCTATTCTTAAACAAATTGCCATTTTAAAATGTGCTCATTTCTAACATGAAAAACAGACCATCTACATTTAAAAACAAAAAAATTATCTGGTGCAATTATCTCATGGACAGGAAATATCAACTCAAAAGGCTCATATTTTTGGTCCCCAACTGGGAGTGTTATTGAGAGGTGACGAGATATTGAGGCTTCTGACCTAATCAATGAATTAATTCCATAATGGAGTCCTATAGTATGGTATTTTTGTAAGATTCCCACAGGGGCCTAGTTGCAGGAAGAGGTCACTTGCAGCACAATATTCCTTCTCCCCAGTCCTCACTCTGTTTCCTGTATAGCAGGAGGTGAGTGGCTTGATTACATATGTTCCCAGTTATGATGTTCACATCTGTACTCAAGTCCACAGCAATGAAACCAACCAACAAGTGAGTAAGACAATGAAACTGGGATCCAGAATAAATGTTTTAAGTCATGGATGGTTGGTATGTTGCCCCAGTAACACTAAGCTATGACAAGTTTCTGAATTTTCAGAGCCAAAATCGTGAGAACAGCTGTTCTACAATGTACTAAGAGAGATGCACTTAATGGGTTTGTAGTATCTATGTGCAGGAATGCATCATGAAATAACATACTACAAACTATACTGATAACTCTAATTCTATACAAGGTCTGCTATTACTATTTATCTGCACACATTAACAGTCATTTTTTAAGTTATTTCTTTTTTTGAAACTTCTTCAAAACATGAGCAAACCAAGTTTCTCTTGTACCAAAAATTCTAAAAGCAAGTACTGCCCACACTCTTATCTTAAAACAGGGATGGCAAACTTTTTTGTAAAGGTCCAGACAGTGTGTATTTTAGGCTTTGCAGGCCATATGGTCTGTTGCAACTACTCTGCTTGTAAAGTACAAAAGTATCCATAGACAGTAAATGAATGAACATAGTTTGTGTTCCAATAAAACTTTATTTATGCAAATTAAAAACTAAACTTTCTGTAACTTTTGAATCTTACAAAATATTATCCTTGATATTTTCTCCAAACACTTAAATGTAGAAATTCATTCTGGGATACATCTGGCCCAGGGGTTGTGTGATCAGCAACTCCCTCTTTTAAAGCATTGCCATTACTAATTCAAACAGGCTGGCTAATCTGTCCTTGATTTGCTAGAGATGAGTGTTCTGTGTATTTCTGTCCATTTCACTCACCCTATAAACAAACAAACAAGCACTTTAAAACTATTTTCAATCTTCAAATGAAGAGTCTATTGAAGCACAGGAATTATCCTAAATTAAATCTGACCAAAACAAACACTGCTTGTAGCCTAAGTACCAAATGGGCTGCACCTTTGTTTTCCAGTCAATGAATAGTACCTTCCTGAATATTCTACTGAGAGTGAGTCTGAAGATTTGTCTGAACAGAATTTTGTCATACAAAAGGGATGACAAGAAAGGGGAAATACTTGTTCCTCCTCGTATAGACAAAACCAGATTGATGATCACTTCAATGACTGTAAAATTACTTCCAACACTTATCCTTTAAAGTTAAGTACATTTGGAGGTAAATTTCTAGATCCAGACAATCATTTTTTCTTCCATAAGTAAATAAAATTGCTTAAGAGGAAACTTAAGATAATCTTCCTCACTCCTAAAAGTAATATGTAATTACCCTCTGTCCCATACATCCATAACTGAACAATAAATTAAACATGATACTTATGAAAATATACTAAATATCTAACTGTACATTCTTATACTCTAATGTTCACACTGAGACTTCAAAAGTATAATTCTATAAAAAAAATTTTTTAAAAAAGTTATTGCTAAGATGGCATAGTCTAAAGCTTTCTTAAGTGTTAAACCTCTATGCCTAAATTTATTCTACCAAAATAATTGCAAATAGTTAAGACTGCCATTTTTAAAAGATATAAGTAAGCATAAAAGTTTGCAGTATGGTACATCCATGAATCCTGTTTCATACATTTTTGTAACTCAAAGTAATTTTCTACGTCCTGGAAAAGAAATAGCTAAATAGTGCATTTAGGAGACATATAAACATACACATATTGCATACACACATGCATATTTATATATCCATATATGTGCTCCTTTTCTTTTTCTCCTGCAAAATCTCAGGGAAGACATAATGATGCTCCCTAGTTAACAACTTGAACCTACAACCTCTTCTGTGACCTTGAACAAGAAAACAAATCCTTCACTACCTCTTTCTACACATATAAAATGAAACAGGATCATTCATTGTCCAAATTTTTCTCCAGATCCATAATTCTGCCTAATTATAGTAAATCAGCAACTCTAGTCACAAAGTGAGAAACTTACATAATTTTTCTGTATAAAGTACTTCTTTATTGATGACTAGCACTAACTGCTCCATTTTTGTACCACTGGGGAAAAAAATAAAAGAACTCTACACCAGATCACAAATTTAGTAGACTACTGGGTCATAAAACACCCAAGACAATGAAATCAAAAATACTTTTCCATGAGAAAGGAAATTTAAACTAAAAGACTGTATTTAAACAGAATTTTGAGTTTTTTAATACCAAATATTAAAGTAATATGCCAATATTAATTTTATACACAATCTCATTCAGATACAAAAGACCTACTGATTCCTCATTTATTTTCAAAGTCAAAATTAATTTAATCAATTAATTTCAGTACAATTTTGAAATTGTATTATACTGATATAAAGTAACAAACAGCATGCAAGAAAAAACAGACCAGTATTTTTCACTAACTTGAATACAAAACTTCTCAACAAAAGTTTAATAAATGAAATCTAATTATGTAATTTTTAAAAAAAGAAAGAAAAAGAACTAAGACACAACAACAGGTTTACTTTAGCTATTACACAAGGCTGGTTCAGCAATCAAACTTACTCAGTGCAGTCTACCAAATCAAGAAAATAAAAATGAAAAATAGTATGACCATATAAATCAACACAGAAAACACATCAGACAAAATTTAACACCCATTTATAATAAAAAACAAACTGCAAACTAAGAATAGGAAAGAATCCCTTAACATCATAAAGAGGATCTACCAAAAAGCCCACCAAGGGCATTGCATATAATGGCTATACATAATGAGGAAGATTTCAGGCTAAGATCAGAGACAAAGACACATCGTTCATACTCCTCTTACCCTTTATTTAAGATAGACTGATTGTTCTGATTTCTGCCACAAAATGAGACACAAATATTGCAGAGAAAAGAAAAATAAAAATTGTATTTTCAGATAACATTATTACTTTTCTAAAACTTTCCAAGGATTCTACATAAAAGAAAACCTGCTAGAATTAATAAGTGACAAGATACAACAACAAAATGAGTTGCTCTTCTATATACTGACAATGAACAAAAATGAAACTGAAATCTAAAATGTTTAAGACCAGATATACTTCATCTCTTTAAAGAAAATAAAATATTTAGAAATTAACATAATCTAACAAAACACAAATGTGGTGAAACTGTAAAATGCTAATGGACTAAAAGATCCAAACACTTGCAGAGGCATCCAATTTTCATGTATTAGAAACTTTAAAATAGCAAAGATGACAATCCTCCCTAAATTTATGTTCATATTTAATTAAATTATATCAAAATCTCAACAAACCTATTTGCAGATATAAACCAGGTTATTAGAGAATAGTTTTTTTAAGAATAAAACTGGAGAAGTCATTCCTTACTTTTCCAATGGTAAGGTTTACAACATGGCTACAAAACATAAAGGCAATGTGATACATAGTACAGGAAGATTCCAGATATGTGTGATGCAGACAAAAAGTCAGAAACAGATCCACGCAAACCAGTCTACTTTTAATAAATGAACAAAGCAATGCAATGAGGAAAGTTAGCTTTTATAATAATAATTCCTGAAGGGATTATACTCTTCTGTTTAAGCAACTCTACTTTTGAGTTCCTTCCTTGCCATTATTAATTTAGCAATTTCTTAAACACCAACACTTTCAGAAACTTTGCAGG